TGGAAGACTTGACCCCCCCCCCCCCCCCCAGTCATTTTAAAATATGTAATTTGTGTTGGTATGTGAATTTACATCCTGAAAATAAATGCTGGCCCCGTTTTCTTCGCTGTTCCAGTGTACTAATGTTTATCACTGTTGTTTTTTTGCAATTTGGTTATCTTGTGTCTTGGTGTGTGTAAGGCTCCATGGCCCGGGCCCCCCCTCCCTCCCCCTAGAATGCAAAAAAGAAAAGCTCATCGACAAAGAGCACCAAGACCCTACCAAGGACCCTGCGTTGAATAACTATCACCACTCAGAACATTCTGGCTTCCTGGGGTTCGGAACATACCAACCGCCCCTATTTCCAATGACCACCCAAGGTCACCAATGGAAAATCCCCCAGCTCTTCCCGGCCAAAAGTCCTAGCCTGGCCGCCCCTCTCATACCAGTCATCAAAACGCCTCCACCTCTTCACAACGGCGGGGGCGACTTTCTGGGCCTTCCCTTCTGGGGCCCACGCACTCCAATCTGGGAGCCTCAAATACAAGCCACGTGGTTTGGCCCCACTCTTTTTCTGTTTGTCTTTTCACCAGCTGCCCGAAACACCCTTACAGTGTGCGTTTTGGTCTTATCCTCAATTGTGTCTAGCTTGGGTTCTTAAATCAGTGCTTTATGGTTTTCATCAATTTTGGAAAAATCATGTGCCCATATTTCTGAAATATTTCTCTCTCCAGCCCTTTCTATCCTGACAACTTCAAATCACTCCGTGTGTTAGACGACTGGCTCACTATTTTCTCATAAGTCACTGAGTCCGCAGCGTTTCTCTATTTTTTCTAGGCCTGCTTTCTTTCCGCTTTGCTCATTATTGGAGCAACACCAACAACGCCCCAAAACAGAAAAAGGGCCCTTAAAACCCAGAGTTCTAATCAGGATCAGGAGGTACAAAACACTTCCCAGCGCCCACAACCAAGATTCATTTAAAAAAAAAAAGAACAAAGCAATGTTTCCAAGCCAGACACGTCTGGTCTCAGAGTCTGTTTCTTAACGATAGTCTTTACCTATGTCAAAATATGGGGCACGATGCAGGGTGACATGATAAAATACATTCCAAAACGAGACTCCCCTATATTGATCCCAATTATGATGGAATTCCATGAACAGAGAAGACTGAGCAAATACGCTTTGTTCATCGAAAAAATATACCATACATTTCAGGTCAGCAAAAGTGATGAGAATATTTCCACATGGAGTCACTTCCAGGAGTTGAGTTCTGCTGAGACAGCAGTCAGAACGCCACTTTGTTTATGTTCTTTCTTTGGGGTCCCTGCTTGGGAGCCCATGAGCGTCTCCCCTCCCACCTTCGTGGATCCTCATATCACTATGTATCTGGGCTGGTCCCACCTTGCAGAGAAGGATATCTGGCCAGAAACATGGTGTAGAATGAGCATGGTTCGTTACGCAGGAGACGGGGAGGCTAGTGGACCGTTATTGACTGTCACGGGTAGGGCTGTACCTGGAGACGACACTCACGCTGTGGATTTGATGGAAGCAGGCGGCGCAGTACAAGGCATCTCTCAACCTCTTGAAACAGGAAGAAACTTTGGTAGCCAGCAAACTCCAAAAGAGGGCCCCTCCAAATGACCCTTGCCTGCTGCTCCTCATACCCCTCGCGGTGTAGTCTCTCAGGCCACACTGGCGTACCTCAGGCAGCAGCTGGCTTTGTGATGCCGAACTCAGAGTATGATAGTGTCGTGAACTTTAGGCGGTCTGGCTGACAAAAACATTGCAGCTTCTGGCTTACTTTGCGCATTACTCCTTCCAGGGCGAAGACCAGGCCAGCCCTCTTTCTCTACAAGACAATCAGCCTATAGACGACAGCGCCTATACGAATTTGGCCCTCTTGCCCACACACGCATGCGGCCTACCTCCACCCAACCCGAGTGTACACTTGAGACCACTGGAAGCAAATACTCCTGTCCCAGTAAAAACTTTCACAACTGACCTAACAGCGCCGCTGCACCACCTTGACTGCGTCCACCCGAACTTCACAAGCTGCTCCCAAACTAACCCCTCACAGACAGTGAGAACTGATCACAATGTCTGTTTTGTTTAGAGGGCACTATTATGCTTTGTTTGGTGTTCATTCTTCTGTCTATCGAGCACCAGCAACGTACGAGCTCTACACAACTACAGGAAAGAAATACTGAGAGCACCTCACATTGAAAAACAAATAAAACATAACATCAATTGTCACGCAACAATATACAAATACCCGGAGTATTACAAATTAAGACAGCATGAAACAAGCAACTACTAACGTAACGAAGAAATATTTTTAATCATTCTTTTAAAATCAACCATATACATCACATTCAACATTAATCATATTAATAATCCATGAAGAAAACTTTTCAATAGTCTACCAACAGTACGCAAGAATGTTCCTACTAGTTAACCGCATCCTCATTCAACCCCCCAACACTTCTAGAGAAGATATTCCAAACAGGTTGAAGCGGTAATGTATTTTTAACGTTCCCCATAAGGTTCCCTACAGAAAAGCAGGGTATGGTAGCTCATTCAGAGGCTGAGGCAAGTAGCGATTCTGCTTGAGCCGCCAGGAAGCTTAGAGGCTGCAGTGGCTACCCGACTCTGTGACCCTCCACCCTCCCCACCACCTCCGCACAGGCGCCAGGGTGAAGAGGCCAAGACTGTTGTCTCAAAAAAAAAATAAAGCTTCTACTGAAACAATACCAAAGAACTACCATTTATCGAAATTTACAGAGCCCTAGCGCGTAACACTTTTAAGCCAAAATATAACCAGGATACAAGGAAGAAAGGCCGATTTGCTTAGATACAGTTCACAGAGAGCAATACAACAAGAGCTATATGTTAACAAACTACTCCCAACTTGCTGCGATTCCTAGCCCAGAACATTTCCCCAAAACTGAACGGGCTACTCAGTATTTCCACTCTGTATGCTCTAACAGGGACTTTTAAATTATCACCCATTCCAAACAAAAATAGTCATTTTGTTTGCTGATAGTCACTTCATGTGCTTAAAGACTGGGCACATACGGTTCCTGAGAAATTGTTTAGGTGTTTTCATCACTAGTGCAACACATGAGTGGCAGCTTACAGCAGACCTAGTTGGTGCTCAGCCTATTTTACATCTAGGCTATATGGTAGCACGCCACATATGGTAGCAGCTCCTAGGCTACCACCATGTATAGTTTGTCTACTGTCCCTGCAAATACTGTAGGCCATATAACAGCAATGGTTAAAGTATTTGTGAATCTAGACATATCTAAACATAGAAAAAGGTAATGTGCTGCAGTAACTAACTTTATGATGCTATGAACCATCACAAGGGATAGGGATTCTTTCGCCGCCCATTATAATGCCGCACTGGGACCACTACTATATGTGGTCCCATTCCATTGACTAAAACATCATCATGCAGAACATGACCGTCACTCTCTTGCTTCTAACTTCGGTTAATGTTCCTGCTCTTCCCAGTTATTGCTATTTTTTTTTTTTTTCTCTCGGACAGAGTCTCAGCCTCTTGTGCCTAGCCTAAGTGAGTGCCGGCTGGCGTCAGCACTGGCTCACAGCAACCCTCAATCTCCTGGGCTCAGCGCATCCCTTCATCTGTCCCCAGCCTCCCCCGAGTAGCTTGGGACTCAGCAGGTCCAATCGCGCCACCCATGCCCGGCTTTACATATTCTTTGTTATATATCAGTTCTTACTTGGTCAGACTTTAATTTTTTCTATTTTTGGCGTAGAGACAGAGTCCGTCCAGGCTGGTTTTCGAACTCCTGACCTCGAGCAATCCACCCGCCTCGGCCTCCCAGAGAGCTAGGATTACAGGCGTGAGCCACCGCGCCCGGCCTATTCTCTATATTTTTATCTAGCAGTTTATATGGCTTTATTTTTATATATAACCTGGAGAATAAATTTAACCTCTATGTATTTTCTTCTAAGGAAAATATGAGGAAAATTATTTTTTCTAAATGAATAATCTATTCCTTCGCAGCTTGTTTAAAATAGTATCAGTACATTATCATATAATAAGCAAACTAGTAGACACTCAATTCTATGAAGACAAAGACAGTGTCTATTGTTACTTACCACAGCACATAAAACACAGTCCGTAATAACTTCATGTTTAGTGAATGAATAGACATTTTCCATTCTTATGGAATTCTTATACGTACATTTGTTTCTCAACATTATATGCTTATCTTTTCATGTTTCTTCAGGCTCCCACTCCACACCATTTACTGTTTTCATTATTACAGACTGATGTAGCTTTTTAAAAAAATGTAGATTCTGCTCCTCATTACTCTCTTTTTTCAAAAAGTGTTCTGCTATTTTGCTATATTAATTCTACTAATCTTAAGTGCATAACCTAGAATATCATAACTGTGGCTTGCTACTAACTTAACATGTCCCTAAAAGAGGACCTCATTATTCCCATGGAATCCTACTATTCAAAGCCCACAGAATGCCCTACCATAGCTGACCCACACTTTAGTACACAAGACCCAACACATCCCATTCCTCAAAATCACCTTAAGTTGAGCAAGAGACCTTGCCATATTCTATGACTAAGACTTCCTGCCTGTCTTGCCTTCCTTTCAAACCCAGGTCTACAGAAAAGCTCCATGCTGGCATTTACATCTGAACATAGACCTTGACCTCAATGAATCAAGTTACCACAATGAAGGCTTGCATATCCCACCAATGAGTGTATTTTTACCTGTCGAGAGTTCCTAACACTGAACCCATGGAAGGTACTGAACTATTTCTTGAAAGAAGATGAAAACACTTCCTGTGGGAAAAAAGGAAGATAGCCGGGCTTTCTGGGACATTCTTTTACTGAAGAGGAGGACATAAAGAGCAAGTAAGTCAATGGATGAATGGAACTTTGTTAGGCTGGGGAATTTTAAGAATAGCAAAATGTTCACATCACCTGAAATATCAGTTGAGTATCAAGGAAGAGACAAGAAATGCTTCCTTACCTTAGACATGGCTTTAAGAATTTATGATGGTTCTTCTGTCCTCCTCCTTCAGGTTCCTTTCTGAGGAAAGAGTAGTATCCTGAGAAAGTAAATTGAAGAAGGAAAAAAAAAACAAAACCAAATAATAACATAAAATGCCCTGCTCTGCAGCTCCCAGCATCACCTGCCTAGAAACCCTCCTTTCCTTTTCTTTCCCATTCTCCCTATACCACATAAGTAGATTAGAAGGGTCACTGAACAAGTCATTCACATCTAAATTTACGATTCTTTTCCCTATGTGCTTTAGCTCTTAAGAAAACCATTTTCTTTATGAAAATTAAGAAAATGTATTTCTTAAGAATATTTTCTATGCATAAGTTATTCCTCATTTATAAACAATAACAATTACAGAATGACATTACCAAGTAGGGATTCTTTCACCTTTTACAAATGAAGGCTGTTCATTAATGAAATTTTCCAAAGTGAGAATTGAGCCAAAATGGAAACCAGGTCTGACCTTTTTTTTTTTTAATTTCAGGTTTGATTTTTTTAGTCTTTCCACCAGATAATGATGTTGAAAGGAAATATGTACCCTCCCATTTCTGCAAGGATGAGATAAAACTACAAATTGAATGCCTCAGAGAAAGCATCTTTACACAGAGTAGATATCAGAGGGGCCATGTGGTCTGGAGGACACTGGACCAAAGAGTCAGGACACCAGCTTCTGGTCCTGGCAATGACACACTTCACCTGAAAACCAATCTCTTGACTTTTCTTCTTAGCGATTTCCTTGGAAAGAGAGAAAGAGGGAGGAAAAGGAGGGGAAGGATGGGCAGGCTATGTATGACAGTCATCAGAACCTTTAAATCACGAGTTCTTTTCCACTATACTTCAATGCCTTGAAAAATAAAGCCATTAATTAAGAAGCAGCATAACTTAATGGTAAGAACTACTAGGTTAGGGATTAGAACGCCTGAGCTCAAACACCTGCTCCATCACCACTCACTAACTATGCAACCTTTGGCAAGTTAGGTAACCACTCCAAATGTGTTTCCTTACCAGTGAAATGGTAACTATTCTCTATTAAATGTTGGGAGCATCCTGAAATGATCCAAATAAAGCATTTAGCATAGTGCTTGGCACATTCTTTGTGCCAAATACATTTTAATCATCAATCACTTATTTTCATTAAGAACATATAGTGGGTCTCCCTTTCCTTTTTCCTCTTCAATTCCTCACATGCCCAAGAGACTAAGAGAGGAATGGAAAGACCTTCCCTGTACACTGGAGAGGGCTAAGGCCCAGCAACCCAGTCTGCTTTCCAGGCGTAATGCTGGGGCTTCTCTCTCAGTTTCTCCCTCTCCAGCTCTCTGGTCTTTTTCCGGCTCTCTTCCCCTCTTCTCTTCTCCCCATCTCCATCTTTTCCTCTTCATCTCAATCTCTCTGTCTCTCCCCCACAACAGCAGTCTCCTAAACCACAGAGCCCATTGGCCTCCTCAAGCAGAACACAGCCTCCCACCCACCCCACAAGCCAGACAGACAAACCACACAATCCTTCACTCTGGCACTTCCCGGGCAGCCTGTGCTCATGGCCCCATGCTATAGCCCACCCTCCACTCACAAGGGGTCATAAAAGGGCACTCTGGGTCACCCTGTCATAGTCAGGATGACACAGCGTTAAGTTATGCAATCTCACATAATCATACACACTGTCAGCTTCATAGTCACACTCATTCTCCCACTCACCATCAAGTGCATTCTCAAACACTGTCAAATAAAGTCTCACATCACAAACTATTCACACAGTCACATACAGCCCCATACAGTTAAACAATCTCACACACTGTCACACAGTCCCACACCAACAGTCACATACTGTTCACACACACACACCGTGACATGGTCTCACACTGTCTCATAGCCTCATACAATCCAAACATAGTTCACACAGTCACCCACACTGTCATATACTCTCACACACTGTCGAACAGTCTCACACACACAGGTCTTACACACAATAACATAGTCTGTCATACTGTTCACACACAGTCTCCCACGGTCTACACACAGTGATACAGTTCTAACACTGTCACCTATTCTCAAACACAGCTTCAAATGGTCAGTCTGACAGGGAGACAGTCTCCCTCACATTCCGAGGCACGGTCTCTCACCATGATACACATTCTCACACACGGTCTCTCACTGTGACACACATTCTCATGCACGGTCTCTGCCCCACACGCGTTCTCCACACGGCCTCTCGCCCGACACGCATTCTCCACACGGCCTCTCGCCCGACACGCATTCTCCACACGGCCTCTCGCCCGACACGCATTCTCCACACGGCCTCTCGCCCGACACGCGTTGTCCACACGGCCTCTCGCCCGACACGCGTTCTCCACACGGTCTCTCGCCCGACACGCATTCTCACGCACGGTCTCTCGCCCGACAGGCGTTCTCCACACGGTCTCTCGCCCGATACGCATTCTCCACACGGTCTCTCACCCGATACGCATTCTCCACACGGTCTCTCGCCCGACACGCATTCTCCACCCGTCTCTCGCCCGACACGCATTCTCCAACGGTCTCTCGGGCCACTCGTTCTCACACGATCTCTCTCCCACACGGCATCTCACCCGTATCTCGCCCACACGCATTCTCACGCAGCGGTCACTCGCCAGACCGCATTCTACACGGCTCCCAGCGACACGCGTTCTCACACGGTCTCTCGCCGACCGCATTCTCCACCGGTCTCTCGCCCGACACGCATTCTCCACACGATCTCTCGCCGACACTCGTTCTCCACACGATCTCTCTCCCACACGCATACTCCACAACGGTCCTCCGCCGACACGCATTTTGGCGCACGGTCTCCGCCGACACGCATTCTCACCCGGTCTCTCGCCCGACACGCATTCTCCACACGGTCTCTCGCCCGACACTCGTTCTCCACACGATCTCTCTCCCACACGGATTCTCCACACGGTCTCTCGCCCGACACGCATTCTCACGCACGGTCTCTCGCCCGACACGCATTCTCCACACGGTCTCTCGCCCGACACGCATTCTCACGCATTTCGCCGACGCATCTCCACGGTCTCTCGCCCGACACGCATTCTACGCACGGTCTCTCGCACCGGTAGTCTCTCGCCCGACCGTTCTCCACACGGTCTCTCGCCGACACGTTCCGACGCGGTCTCTCGCCCGACACGCGTTCTCCACACGCTTCGCACCGACACGCGTTCTCCACGGTTCTCCCGCTCCCGACACGCATACTCCACCCGGTCTCTCGCCCGACACGCGTTCTCACGCACGGTCTCACACGCGGTGGCATGGCCGCTCCCGGCGCCAGCTCCGTCCCGGCAGGCCCGCCCGGGCGCGCGCCCGCGACTGCACTCCTCACCGCCGCCTCCCTGCCGGCGGCGACCCCTCGCGCGGTCGCGGGCCGGGCCGGGCCGGGCCGTCTCTGGGCGCCGGCCGCGCTCACAAAGGCGCCGCGGCGCTCGCGCAGGCAGCAGGGGCCGCTGGGAAACCGAGTCCGGGCCGGCGTGCCGCAGAGGATCCCGGGACTGCTCCCCGGAGCGCGGACCGGCAGTCGGACACGCCGCTCGGTTGCGAGTCTTCTCTGCTGCTCCCCTCCACCCCGAGGCCCTTGTGAACCAGAATCTGGACCAGCTGAGCCTTCCGAGGCCGTCTGTTCCACCATCCGCCCAGCCACCGGACCCGCCGCGGCCTCTCAGCGCCGGCTGGGACTGCGCAGGCGCAGCTCTTGGTGGGCGGGGCTGAGGCGCGCACGCGCAGTGGCTGGTCCCGGCTCAGAGTACCCGCCGGGCTGTAGGACCAGAGCTGGGAAGCCGAGCAGGCGGAGCCCACGGGAGCGGGGGTGTGCGGTTAAAGCTGGCTGCCTTTCTGTTTGTTCTTTCTCCGCCTTAACCTTTCTTTTGCCATTTATTGACTGCCTACTGTGTTGGGCACTGTTGTAGGCTCTGGGGACACGGCAGTGAACAAGCAAATATCCCCATCCTCACGGAGCTGACATTCTAATGCGGGAGGAATTCAATAAAAAATAAACATACCGGTACATATTGGGAATACGTATTGTTACATATGGTTTTAAAAAATGTAGGCCGGGCACGCCCGTAATCCTAGCACTCTGGGAGGCTGAGGCAGGTGGATCATTTGAGCTCAGGAGTTCGAGACCAGCCTAGCAAGAGCAGACCCCGTCTCTACTAAAAATAGAAAGAAATTGGACAGCTAAAAATATACAGAAAAAATGAGGCGGGCATGGTGGCGCATGCCTGTAGTCCCAGCTACTCGGGGAGGCTGAGGCAGGAGGATCGCTTGAGCCCAGGAGTTGGAGGTTGCTTTGAGCTAGGCTGCCGCCAGAGAGAGCACTCTAGCCAAGGCAACAGAGTGAGACTCTGTCTCAAAAAAAAAAAAAAGTAAGCCCAGCAAGGTGGCGCATGCCTATGATCCCAGCACTTTGGGAAGCAGAGATGGGAGGATCGCTTGAGTCCAGCAGTTTGAGGCTGCAGTGAGCTAGATGAGGTCGCTACACTACAGCCTGGGCAATAGAGTGAGACCCTGTCTCAAAAAAAAAAAAAAGTGAAACACAAAAAATCTCTCTGGCATCTTCTGTAGAGTGTTAAAACCATTTCATGGTTGGTGGTCTTTTATCAGGAAAGAATGCTGATCTCATCCTTAGGAAATAAAGCCTGATGCCAGTTAGTGAGGGAGGGGTAAAATGATGTGCCTGACTTCACATCTCATCATGACTGGGAACTCAGTTTTAAGGTTTCTCTGGGACCCCCTTGGCAGAGGGGTCTGTTCAGGCAGCAGGGGCCTTAGGATTTTATTTTTAGTTCACAAATCTTATGTAAGGTATAACATCAATAAACTTCCAAGTTTTGCAGCCTTTTCCACATTTCACAAATGCATGAAGAGAGTGGGCCTCTCTAGCCTGAAGAAGCTAGGTGGTGATATTTTTCATTTTCAGCCATTATCTCTTAAGCTTCTTCTTTTGGCAGAACCCTCTACAAAGATTGGCAATAGTCACTAAGTGAATCAAAGTTTACTTTGATTTGCATAAAAACCACATTCATCCTACCCACATGGGTAATCAGCAGACAGACGTCTGCCTAGCATATCCAAGTTTAATGTATTTATCTAAGTACAAAATCTTGAGTAATAGAGATAAAATAAGGAATCCTCAAAGAGAGAAGGCAACATTTTGCCCTCGATTGCCACAAAGGAAGATGCAATATATTTAACTTTTCATGGATTAGTATTGAAGCAAATTTAAGTCTATAATCCATTTTGAGTTAAGATTTATATGAGTTGTGAGGTTTAGGTTAAATTTCTTTTGTCCTATTTTTTTAAAAAATTTTTTTGGCTATGAATGTCCAGTTGTTCCAAGACTATTTGTTGAAAAGTCTATACTTCCTCCATTGAGTTGCTTTTGTACTTGTCAAAAATGAGTTTTAACAACTTGTATCCAGAACATGTAAAGAACACTTAGAACCCACTAATAAAAACACAAATACAATTGTTTAAGCGGGCAAAGAGTTTGAATGGACATTTCTCCAAAGAAATATGTATAATTGGTTTGTAAGCATTTGAAAATGTGTTCAACATTGTTAGTCATTTGGGAAAGGCAAATCAAAACCACAGTGGCGTACCACTTCATACCCACTATGATGGCTGGAATCAAAAAGTCAGATAACAACTGTTGATGAGGATGTGAAGAAATTTTAACCCTTATGCATTGCTGGTGGGAATGTAAAATGGTGTAGCTGCTTTGGAAAACATTCCAGAATTTCCTCAAAATGTTAAACATGGAGTGTGTTGATTTTCTAGGTCTGCCATAATAAAATGTCACAGATTCAGTGTCTTAACAGTAACTTATTTTCTCACAGTTCTGGAGGTTGGAAGTCCAAGGTCAAGATGTTGGCAGCTTTGGTTTCTCCTGAGGCCTCTCTCCTTGGCTTGTTTTCTCTTTGCCTCTTCATATGATCATCCTTCTATGCCCACACATCCCTGGTGTCCTCACCTCTTATAAGGACACCAGTGACATTGGATTAGGGTCCTACAACCAACAGCCCCATTTAAACTTAATTACCCCATTAAAGACCTAATTTCCAAATATGATTACATTCTCATTCTGATGTACTGGGGTTGGGACTTCAACATATGGAGCCCATAACAGAGTTACCACATAGCCCAGCAATCCCAGTTCTAGGTTTATATCTTAAAAAAATGAAAACATACATACATGCAAAAACTAGTACATAAATGTCCACTGCAGCATTATTCATACTAGCCAGAGTGGAAACAACCCAGATGTTCATATTAGTCAGCCATGAGAAGCAATGAAGTACTGATACATGTTACAATATGGATGAACCTTGAAAACATTATGCTAAATGAATGAAACCAATCACAAAAGACCACATATTACAAGAGTATATTAATATATATAAAATATCCAGAATAAGAAATTTTATAGAGATAGGCTGATAGGAAGAGATGGAGAATGTCCATTAATGGGAACAGGGTTTCTTTTTGTGCTAATGAAAATGTTCTATAATTATATTTAGTGATGGTTAGACAACCTGTGAGAATACTAAAAAAAAATGAACTTGTCATTTTAAAATATGTGAATTGTGTGGTATGTGAATTACATCTGAAAATAATGTGCCTTTTTTCGCTGTTCCAGTGTACATAAACTGTTTATCACTGTTGTTTTTTTGCAATTTGGTTATTCTGTGTCTTGGTGTGTGTAAGGCTCATGGCGGGCCCCCTCCCTCCCCTAGATCAAAAAAGAAAAGGCTCATGAGACCAGACCCACCAAGGACCTACCAAGGACAACTGCCCCGTTGAAAACTATCACACTCAGAACATTCTGGCTCCTGGGTTCGGAACATACCAACCGCCCCTATTTCTCAATGACCACCCAAGGTCACAATGGAAAATCCCCAGCTCTTCCGGCCAAAAGTCCCTAGCCTGGCCCCCCCTCTACAGTATAAAAGGCCTCACCCTCTTCAAACGGGGGCAACTTCTGGGCCTCCCCTCTCTTGGGGCCCCAGAACCTCATCTGGGAGCACTAAATAAAGCCACGTGGTTTTGGCCCCACTCTTTCTCTCTGTCTTGTCTTTTCACCGCTGCCGAAACACCTTACAGTGTGGTTTTGTGTTTATCCTAATTGGTGTCTACTGGGCTTCTTAAATCAGTGGCTTTATGGTTTTCATCAAATTTGGAAAAATCTGTGCCCATTATTTCTTGAAATATTTTTCTCTCTCAGCCCTTTCTTCCTGAACTTCAATCACTCGTGTGTTAGACTGCTCACTATTTTCTCATAAGTCACTGAGTCCCAGTTCTCTATTTTTCTAGGCTGCTTTTTTTCCGCTTTGCTTCATTATTGGAGAAACCAACAAGCTAAAAAAGAAAAAGGGCTTAAACCAGAGTTCTAATCAGGATCAGAGGTACAAACACTTCCCCAGGCCACACAGATTATTTAAAAAAAAAAAAAAAAGCAATGTTTCCAAGCC